ACTATTACTATTTCATTCTAGATTATTTAGTACTTGATTTTTCTGGATTCATTGAAATATATATATTTTTGGTTTTTAGTCACAACTTTTACACAAAAAATGAGTGTGCTATACTGTTTGGAGCAAGGAAAGGTCTAGCAGCTGAGGACTAAATATATTTGTTTTGGTTTCCTATCCCCAATATCTCTGAATAAAAGCAAAGAGAAAAAAGACATCTATGTTTCATGTTACAAATGAATAAGCATTAGTGCCATCAAAGAAAATAGAAAGTAATTGTGGAACTTTTATATTTATTAGTTAGGCTGTATGAAACTACATTTCAAATCCAAAATACTAATTTCTATGAGAAATTACATAGTATTTGAATTTTAAGACTACACAATATCATAGAACAATAGAACATTCTCTAAAATAATTTTCTTTTATCTTCCAAATGTTACCTTTTAGAAGTAGATTGTTTTTGTTTTTCTTTCATGTCGATTTTACAGGTGTTGCAGATGTTTCTTCAAGTCATATCAGCTTTGGGTGTGAAATTAAAACACCAACTAGCTGACACTTCCTGGGTAATTTTTATAAATCCTGTTTATCCCTTTTTGTGTATTAGTCTGGCTAGAATTTTATTTTATTGATTAAAAAAACTGGATTTCATTAATTTTTTTCTAATATTAAAAGTTTTCTGTTCCTTATCATTTCCTTCTCTGTGCTTATTTGGGTTTAATTTGCTCATCTTTTAATTTTAGAAGGTAGAAGTTTAGATCACTAATTTGAGGGCTTTTTATTTATCTAAAGTGAAGATTTAATACTATAATTTTCCTTTTAAGAATCAAGTTAGCTGTATCCTGCATACTTTTATACGTTGTGTTTTAATATTCATAGCTAAAAATATTTTCTGATTTCTCTTGTGATTTCTCCTTTTACCCAAATATTTGGGGATTTGCCAGATATCTCTGTTATTGATTTCTCAATTAATTCCACTGTGATTGCAGACATAGTTTGTATTATTTCATCCTTCAAATTTATTGGCATCTATTTTATAGAATATTTTTTGGTGAATATTTTAAGTTTCCTTAAAAAACAACTATGTATGCTGCTATCATTGGTGGGATATCCAATAAATATCAACTAAGTTAATTCGGTTGAAAGTGTTGTTCAAGTCTTTTAGATCCTCGATGATTTTCTTCTTATTCTGTCAGCTACTGAGAGAATAAGAATGTTCCAATAAGAATGTTCTAATATAATTCCATGTATTCTCCCACTATTTTTATAGTTTCATTTTCACATTTAGATTTTTGAACTATATGGAATTTCCAGGCATACATAGTAAGATATGGAT